TGTATATAGATCATTTTTCATATGATCTGCATAGTATATTAGATTTTTATATAGTAAATAAAAAAATGTTTCTGATAAATCTTTTTAATATCTTAGTTAATTTTTATTAAATTTAAATAGTATGTAGTTTAAACTAGTTTGTTTATACTAATAAAGTTTTGAAATATACATTGCTTTAAAAAAAATAAACTTCATATATAATCAAAGTTTCTGAGATCACTATATATTTTTTTGGTTATACAAGAAATTACTAATTCTGATTAGTCAAATCATATGATATTTATATATAAATCATATGATATCATATAAAATTGGTTACACAAAGTTGATTTATAATCTATAGTATTTTATATAAAATTAGAAATTTGTATACTCTATCTTTAAACTTTTGGTTTTCTTTAGTGAACTTCTTAAGATATTTGATATCCAAATCAGAAGATTCATTTTAAAAACAAGTTTTTTAAGATAGTAGAAGTTTATAAAAATATATATACAATTATAAAACTTATAGAAAAAACTCAAACTCTATTATTGGTCTACCACTTTTTTTAAGAAAATTTTTGTAAAAAGTGGGTGTTTCAATTTATCTTCTTCAAAAGATCAATATTATGTAAACCAAAATAGTAATATTGTTATTTCTCAAATCAGATAGATAACAACAAATACGTGTAGTGATTTATATATGTTTTGAATACAGAATATTTATACAAACAATGCTCTAAAACAGGATTTAACCTCTTTACAAGTTCAGTCAATGAAGTTTTCTTATAAGGTTTTTTTACTTTGATATACTAAATAGATAAATTTAAAATAAAAACTAGTTTATTTAGTAATATATAATTTTTACAAGCCTCTTACAAGCTTATAACTATAGCATTAGATTAGACAATTTTTTTTGTTTTGTTCTTATTACTCTCTTATCCCTTTATTCTTGTTTGGATATTTTTTATTATAGATCTCTATATCTCTATATTATTTTTGTTCATATTTTTTTTTGTTTTTTGCTACTTAATATAGGATACTAGCCCTAGCTAAGGATCAGAGAGATCAAATTCTCAGTAAGTTAAAGATCTAATATAAAGCAAAATAGCTATTTTGACAGATTGCATCTAGGCCTTTTAGTCGGATAAGTCTTTATTAAAATAAAATATAATACAAAAAGATAATATCAGAATCACTAGCCAAAAAATATAGTTTTTTGGTATTTTATAAAAATAATAAAATCAAGATCATCTAAAAAAAAATTAAAAAAATAGAGTTTAAAAAAAAACACAAACAAAATTACCTATATTACAATTTAAGAGATAGTTTGAATTTGTTTATAACCAAATTCTAAATACTAAAAATTAATATAGCAAAAGCTTTATTAATAATTTAAGATTTGTCTAAGTTTTGTTACTAAGTATAAATTTAACTAGCTTTAATAATTTATAATTAGAGACTCAAATATTTGGGGCTATAAATAAACAAAGCACCAGTCCAAATATGGAAACTGGGCTACAAGTGGTGGGCCTCGGCCCATGCATATCAACCGAAGACTAGGTCAGCTGGATTGTGGGTATAGAAGACTCTAGCAGGTTTACCCTGAGGACAAAGAGCTTACTGGTTAAGCTTGCTTTAAAGTCCTAAGTCGATGTTCTTAAGGGATATAACCCAATTCGATTATAATAATAGTCGACCCACATATGGTGCAGAGGGTTTAAATAGATAACCCCCTAGTTGGGTTATAGATATGGCATCTAGTGTAGAACTTAGTAATAAGTGGACTACTTAAATAGGCAATCAAAAGTTGTACGTATGGCTAGTTTGTATTCTCCAAAATATGTATACTGTACGGGCATCGTAAGGGGCCTAACGTATAGTAAAACTTGACTAATAACTGAATAAAGAGAATCAACTAAGAGGTCACCTTAAAACCAAAAAATAAAAAAATAAAAAAAATAAACAAAGCTATTTTAGATTCAAGTTGAAGTAGATTTAAAATATGTTTATAAATTTAATACAATTTAAAATAGAATTAAAGTACTTTTGAGTAGAAGTTAGAATAAAATTAATTTAATAAAATAAGTTAGCCTAACTCAAACTATTAATAATTCTATAAATAAGTAATAGTTATATTCTAGACAATTGGATATAAACAAAATAAAATTTTTGCTTATACACATAGTATCTAAGGTATAAATAATATATACTCTGTGATTTTAATATAGTAACTAGGATATAATAAATTGTTTTGTTATAATTATACAAAATATATATATATATTGATATTTTAAAAAATTTCACTCTTTGATTTTAAAGTAGAACAGATTATATAATTTTAATTTTTAGGTATTATATACTATACAAATTTGTCTAGTAATAATCTACAAATTAAAAGATAAAATATTAAAATATAATATTAATATTAAATATATATCTAATAAATTTGATATATAAAATTTTATATATTTAATTATATAGCATTTAGATTTTGCATTTATCAACTATTATTTAGCATTTGAAATTTTATTATTTTTATATATATGAGCTATACATATTATCTAAATTATTTTAAATCTGTACTAGATTTAAAATATATTTGAACAATATATGTAACTTATATATATAAAAATAATAAAATTTCAAACTAATCAACAGTTGTATACAAAATTTAACAAATATAAATGCTAGATAATCTAATTATTTAAGTATAAAGTATTTATAACTATAATATAATAATATTTTAATTCTAGTAAAATGCTATTGTACTTTACTAGTATTATATTATTATATCTTACTATTATTTGCTATATAATTTAACTGGTTAAATTTTAAATATCTTTAGTACTTAAATCAACTAATCAAATAGCATATAGCAAATAACTTAGTTATTTGGCATTTCATATCAAATAACTATTAATTATGTTTAAAATTATTAGATAAGACTTGGTAGTAACAAAACTTGGTAATAACAAAAACTTGATAAAGACAAAACTTGATAATAATGAGAATTTAATAAAGATGAAACTTGGTAAAAATAAGAGTTAAAATAACAAAACTTTAATTATAGTAATATAGTTAGACCTCTCTATAGACACTTTTTTATAATTATATTTGCTTATAATTATATAAATTTTTAAAACCAATTTATATAATACTTATAAAATTTAGTTTTTATATAAGTACAAACTCTTTATAATCACCAAATTCTTAAAATCAAGAATGTGATTATAGAAAGATTTGACTATATTTTATTATAGCAAAGTTATAGAAACAATAAATTTAATTATAACTACAATAAATTTATATTTAATCTTTAATTATATCAACTTTTTTACTATAGTCAACCTTTCTAAATACAATTCATGCAGATTATATAAAAATTTTAAAAAATCTTGTATTTAGAAAGATATTGTATTTAGAAAGATAAAGATCTATAAGTATATATATAATAAAGACACAGTAAGGCCATGTATTTATAAAGGTTTTTCATAGAACATGTATTTATAAAGATTTGACTATACTATAAATTCTAAAACTTTAACTATATCAAAACTTTGAACTTCACTTTAGCTATACAAATCTCTTATACTTTAACCTCAATAGCAAAATAAAAATTAATCAAACCAATTTTTTTCTTTTTTTTATATATTTTTTAATTAACCAATTATAATTTAATAAATTAGAATCTGTATATTGCATATTTGTAACAAATAAAACAGAACTTCTGTTATGCTAGTTCTTACTATAAAATCTTATAACTTTAAATTTAAAACTATAATATTGTTGCAAACAATATTTTGACAAACCAAAATTTTATTAAAAGTTCCAACATATTACAAATCAAAAAAATGAAATAAAATAAAAATAAAAAAATAAATAAAAATATAAATAAAAAATACAAAAGTAAATACTAATAAAAAATAATCAAAACCAAATTTTAATATCTGTTTTAACACCAAACAGAATTTTATTTTATTTAATGCTCATTCATTATATAGTTACAGTACTACTACTATGCCTCATGTTAATCCTTCTTATGAAATCTATAAACCTTATAACTCAACTTCATATTATTAGTCTATATAATAATCAGGATTTTTTTTATTAGTTGGGATTACAAAGAAAAAGTTTTCTCAAGTAAAAGACAGCCTAAATTGCTGTATTTAATTGATTTATTGCACTTATAAGCTAAACTTAAACATTTAAACATACCTCTCATCTAATTTCTGAATTGCCTCATAGATTGCTGAATTACTTAATAGTTTATAAAATGAGATATGCGCTTTAAAATTTTTTGATCCCAATTCGTATTCGTGGCTAACAATCTATTTTGGTGGCTACAGAGCATTTTGGTCAATCATATAATCAAATTAAAAAAGCCCACTATGTTGCTCCATATGGGCTATAAAAAAATTTTTTCCAGGCCACTTCATATGAAACAACCCAGGTCACTCCAATAGAGCAATCCGGGTTATAAAAAAATTTTGCTCCAGGCCACTTCATATGGAGCGACCCGGGTTTTGCAACCCGGTTATAAGAAATAACTTTGCTCCGGATTATTATATAATTCTTAAAATCGCAACCCACTCCAACCTTAAACTGGAGTATAACCCGGGTTGCTCTGGAGTATGTTGCTCCATTAACAACCCTAAATGTACCCCATAAAATTTTAAATTTTCATAATAAAAGTAGGTCAAATTTTCAGCTTCAGCCAATTTCAACTGATCGGAAACTTATTGATTCATTAATTGCTAACTTTTCAGATGTTTCTGAATTTATGAAAAACAGCGTTCTAGTTCATTAATAATAAAAAACGTGTGCAATTTGAAAACTGAAATATCATAGTTTTACATTATCTTAATATTAACATCACAATAAGCATCATTCTGACGTTTTACTCCACATTGTATAAAATTTTATTGTGATATTTTAAATAAAAACAAATAAAAATTGAGCGTGAACATAACTATAAGAAATATAAGATATCTTTTTCTAATGATTAATATATAAGTTAACTAATCTAAGAATGATATTTTTTTCCAATGATTAATATATAATTTGACTAATTCTGCATCAATTTTTTGACAATTGGAAAGTGTCAAACTACGTTTTATTGATTTATGGGTTTCAAATAATGGTTCTTCACTCCTATTTGAGGATTCGCTCATAGTTTTTTCAAAAAATCCTGATAATGCTGCTACTGGATTTTTATCCACATCTTGATATTCTGATGTTTTTAATAATGTATTTAACCATTCTTTATTCGAAACAATTTTGAAATTTATTCCACTTTTTTGTAAGGATTTTAAGAATTCATTCCACGTAATTCTCTTTGGATTAAGTATATGATTAACTCGGACATAATCAATCTCGTCGTCAAAAGGTGCATTCAAAGAAAT